GGAACACCAGCTACACCAGGAACACCAGCTACACCAGGAACACCAGCTACACCAGGAACACCAGGCACACCAGCTACACCAGGAACACCAGGCACACCAGGAACACCAGGCACACCAGGAACACCAGGAACACCTCCAATGCCAACACCAGGAACACCAACACCAGGAACGCCAACACCGGGAACGCCAACACCGGGAACGCCAACACCGGGAACGCCAGCTCCTGCAGGCAGCAAGAGAGAAGCTGGGTTTGCTGAGAGGTGGGACGTGGAAGTAGGGCTGCTCTCACCATGGTGGTCCCCTGCCTCATCCCAGCAGCTGCTTGGGACACATGCCTAGTCCGGGGTCACCCAAGAGCTAAGAAGTCACCAGCACAGGGGCCGTTCCATGGGGGCTCCAGATGATGCTCATCATGGGGAGATGGAGCCTTGCAGCCAAATGGCATAGAGACATGGTTGGTGTCCCCCAGTATCCACATGGAAGGGCTGGGGGCTGTGGGCACTGATCAGACTGGAAACTGCCCAGAGCAGCCACAGCCTTGACCCTCTTGTGGTAGGGACGAATGCGGGAGGAGCTGTCTGCATGGGACACCACAGACACCCGAGGATAATGAGGTGGCCAGGGGGCTCCTTGAACGGTGCAGTGCTTACCATACTTAGCTGCCTTGGCTGCTGCCGCTGCTCCTGCTGGTGTCCCAACTCCTGGGGACAAGAGAGAGGGACCCTGAGCCACCTGCCCCTCACTGACTGCAGCGGGGAGAGTGCTCATGGGGACAGTCATGGGGACAGTCACCTGCCACCCCAGGGACACCTCCGACTCCGGGAACCAAACCAGGCACACCGCCGACACCAGGCACAAGACCTGGGACACCACCGACCCCGGGCAGCACCCCTGCACCTGGAGAGAAGCAGAGCAGTCAGAGCACCCCCAAGAGCTGCTGGGAGGCACGGTGTCCTCAAGTGGCATGAGATGGCGTGGGGCTACAGATCCCCCAGGCAAAGCTGGAAGCTGTAGCGGGCCCTGAGCTCCCAGATCAGGTGCCCCATGCACACCCCCTGGGGCTGCACCAGGGACCAAGGGTGGATGAGCTCCCCTAGCACTGCTGGCACAGGCATGGGATGCAGGAGGAGAATGCTTGCCAACTGCTGTGTTGCTCTGCAAGCACTGTGATGCTCACACGGCAGTGTGCATGATGCAGTGTCCCCAGAGCATGCACAAATCCGGGCAGGGGATTCCCAGCTCCCCAACCCTACAGCCCATGTGGCCACTCAGGAGTTGGTGGCAGCTGGCAGGACTGCGAGGTCCCCCAAGGACGGGCTCATCAATCCCAGCTGTTGCTGGGGCTGACGCATTTCCTCTGGATGCTCCAATGAGCGCGGGTTTGCTGCTGTGAAACTGAGTGCTTCTGCCAAGGAGCGGAGCAGAGAGCTGCAGATCTCAGCCCATCCCTCTGCTAAAGGACTGCAGTCCCTGGGAGCTGTGCATTTCTCCGTGCAGAGCTGTGGGCTGGGGGAGCGTCCCAAAAGCAAAGCGCCCCGCAAAGCCTCACCAGCAGGGCTGAGGAGCAGGGACTCACCATAGGCTCCTGCTTTCGCTGCTGCCTTCGCTGCAGCTGCTGCCGCTGCTGGGCCTCCCACTGCCAGAGCAGCAGGAGAGAGTCAGGAGTGTGGGATATGGGGGCATGGGGACACGGGGATGTGGGTCTCATGCCTCGGGGCTGAGCCCAGCCTCACCTCCAGCTCCTGGCACAACACCGACACCGGGCACCACGCCGCCCACCCCTGGGATGCCGCCAGCCCCAGGCAGGACACCGGCTCCTGCAGGAAGTATGGGGCATCAGCTCAGAGATGAGACAGCAGCAGCCCCCCCCAAGCCTGGAAGGGGGCACAGCCTCCCTAGTGGGGCCGTGAGTCCTGTGTGTGCCCACAGATGGTGGCTCACCATATTTAGCTGCCGCTTTTGCTGCCGCCGCCTGTGCTCCAACACCTGGGGAAGGACAGGATGAGATGCTGAGGAGATGAGGATATCCCCAGCACAGCCCTCCCTTTTCCCTGGGGAGGTGACACAGCTCTGTCCCCTCTCTGGCTACTGTGGGGCCGCCAGACAGTGCCAAGAATCCTGTCCAAACACCAATGACTTCCAAAGATATGCCAGCTCCCCATGCCACAGTCTATGGGTCCCAATCCCTGCACCCCCCAGAGCAGCCAAGGTGGGAGCCATACCTGTCCCAGTGGGGTACCCAGCCTTCCCAGCAAGAACCCCTGCTCCTATCCCACCTGGTCCAAGGCCTGCAAGCACAAAGAGAAAGCGCAACGAGGTCAGGAGCTGGGTGCCGGGGCAAGGATGAGGCAGACAAACAGCTCCAGCCCCATAGCTGAGGACACACTGGGGACACAGGGTCCGCGAGGAGCTACGACCGTGAAGCTACGAGCGCTCATCACAGGGCAGCTTACCATTGACGAAGGGCAATCTATAGCCACCTGGAGAGGAGAGAAGGCGCTGGTTAGCACCTGGCTGCCGGTGGCCGTGCCCGCTCTGCCTCGCGGTGTAGCCCCTCTTTGCCATCAAGCCAGCGAGCCCTCGGCACTGGGGCTCCTTCCCAGCCAAATCCTTTTTGGGGTGCAACCCCGCATCGTGATGGGGCTCTCAGAGGTCCCCCTCACCAAAAGCGAACCCCACGCTGAGGGCTGTGGTGCGTGGAGCTGGTTTCTGATACGAGCGTGTCTTTGCTGGAGCCTCCCTTGACCCCACATCAACAGTGATTCACCGAGAGCCCCACGGCGAGAGCCGTACCCGACCGGCTGCACCAAGCTCTCATGTGAGGCTTTAATTGGAATCAGGGCTTGGGAACTGAAACGTGACCTCACTGGGAGGTCGGCAAGAAGGAATCGGGGGATTACGAGAAGGAACATCGCAGCCGGGGAGACGGCTCCTTGAGAAAGAGCGGAGTCCCATTGCATGTGCCAGCATGGGGACACCTGGTGCACAACGTGGCGGTGACCACAGTCCAAGGAATGGTGACAAAGTGGCACCAGGGGCTGCACACCACGGTGGCCTGGTCCCCTGCTGGTACCATCACCCACAGACAGGATGAGACAGCATCCCCTCCCACAGCCAACATGTGTGCTCCAGACTCCCCCCTTCCCCCGTTAGCTGTTTCCACCAGCTGCCACGCGATGCTGGGAGCGCTCTGCAGGCGGTGGCTGTGAGCAGGGTCCCTGCAGGCACCCAGCAGCAGCAGCACCCCGCTCACCCCACAGCTGCCTGATGCCAGGTGACACACGAAGGTGGCACCAAGGGCCCAAACCTTTGGGATTCTGGGCATTTCTCTGGGTCCTCAGTGCCCCAGCACCCATCCTGTGGCGGCACAAGGACGGCCACCAGTGTCATCAGTGCTAACAGAGCAGTGCTTCTGGCATGGAAAGCCATTCTCTCTGACCTCAGGCCAGCTCGACGCAGTCCCCATCCCTGTGACATCAATGGGGATCCTGATTTCAGCCACAGATCAGCCTGCTCCCCCAGCAAACCAAGGACCCTTGGGACCCCTCCTGCTCCAGGACAGCCCAGGATCTGGCAGGGGCGTCTGGAGCAAAGCACCCTAAAAGGAAACTTCCCTCTGAAAATGCTGTTTTCATGTCTCCTTGCCCCTCCTGCCCTGCACACAGCACAAGGGATGTAAAGGCAAGTCACACATCTCAGCAGCCCCTGATGAACTGATCTGCTTCAACCAAGAGCCCCACACCACTGCAGAGCGACGAGCTGAGACGCACCCAACACCCAAAAACACACAGGGGGACAGAAACACCATCCTACCACACACCCTACAAGAGGTGGCACCACACAGGAGCCACGAGGATGGGGTCCGCAAGAGAGGGATGGGGATACGGCAGCCCCACTCTCTGCTGTGGGGCTCACTGCTCGGAGCCAGGCACAGCAGCTCCCCAGAAAGTGGGTCAGCCCCGTCTGGGCTTCGGGCCACTGGCGGGGCCGCCGGGACGTGGCCAGGTGCCTGCAGCAGGCACCCCATGAAAGGCCGTCTGGGGCCGGGCGGCCAGACGGCATCCGATCTGCGCAGGGCCGGGTCGCCCTAACGAGCGGAACGAGGCTCTGCGGGAGGAAGCGGGCGCTGGCCAAGTATTTCTGCCGTGGGCCCCGCCGGGGGAAGCTGCCGGGACTGGCGGCCGTTGCGGGGAGGGATGCGCCCCAGGGTGGGCTGCACCCCAGAATAACACCCGGGGACACATTTGATCCCGCATCCCCAGGATGAGGGGCCCCGCTGGGCTCTGGCTCCCATCCATGGCCTGGGTGTCACTGGGGTGCTGCTGGCAGCACCCCAGACAAGGCAGTGCCCTCCTGTCCCCACCGCTGCCACCCCGCTGCTGTCCCTGCGTGGCATGGGTCTGGCACCTGGCGCAGGGATGGGTGACAGATGACACCGGGGCGGCGCAGGTCGGGAGAGGGGTGCTGAGCACCCCTGGGCTGGCACTGAGCATCATATCTGCGGGCAGTGAGGAGGGAGCCCTGCCTCTGTCCCCACTGCCATCCTGCTGGTGGTGGCCTTGGCGAGGGGTCCCCAATGGGGGACACGCAGCCTGGGTGAGCGTCTGGTGAGCAACCCTCGGCCCCCAGGAGCCACAGAAAGCAGAGGGTCCCTGAAAGGATGTGCCCGGTGCTGGGAGGGAGCTGCGGACCAGCGTGGGGTGTCCCAGCCCAGCGTATGTCCCAGGGCCACCCAGGGCCACCGCGGCTCAGCCCGGGGCAGCGGGGACGGCGGCTCGTCCCCCTGGCCCCCACCCGCATCCCTGCTGGCTGTGGCCGCTTACCTGGGAGCTTGGGAGCTTTGATGGGATACCCCAGAGGGACACCGGGCTGCTGGCCTCCAAAGCCTCCCAGTCCTGCAAAGCCAACAGCAGATGCTCACCTGGAGCCTGCGCCCAGGTTGCCACCAGACCTTGCAGAGCGGGGTGCCCGCGGCACCCTGGTTCCCCGGCCACGGCTTGGAAAGCCTCTGAGGCACCTTCTGGTGTGGGGAGGCTGCTGTGGTGATGGAGAAACTTAAGAAGGAAGAGAAGAGCTGGGGAGAGAGAGGGGGCACTCACCGGGGATTCCTGCGAAGGCTCCTGCTCCTGGGGAGAAACAAACACACAGCCTTGAGTTGTGGGGCTCCCGGCAAGCCACAGGGTCCCACTTTGGGCTCAGCTGTGGAAGGGCTGGCACGGGAACAGCTTCAGTAGGGCGGAGGTGAGCCCTGGACCTGATGTGGGAGCAGGGACGTACCTGGACCTTTTGCCTTGACCCCGGTGCCGGTGGGAACGCCGGGCAGCACGCCTACGCCGGGGAAGCGGATACCTGAGGTGGAGCAGAGGGAACAGTGAGCACCCTGGGCAATGTGGGGCCCAGAGCCGTGCCCCCTCCTGCCTGCTAATGCCCAGAGATGAGAGAAAAAAAACCCTGGATTTGCCCTGAGGCACCTGCAATCAGCACCTCAGCCTTAGAATCATTCAGGTTAGAAAAACTGCTGTGTTGGATCACGCAGTGCAAACATCACCACGATGCCACTAAACATCATCATTCCGTGTGACATCTACACTTCTCTTGAAATCACGTCCTCCTTCCGTGGCTCAGCACCCCGGGCTGCACTGAGCCCCCCCCTGTGCCCAGCACCGGTGTGGTGGGAGGGGACACAAACTCCAACCATGGCACATCCCTGCTCCAGCCCCGTGGCACCAGGGTGGAGGTGGCTCCAGCCCCTTCAGCTGCCACCCTGCACAGGAATCCAGGCAGAAGGTTCCATTTCCGCCCATCAGCAGTTGGGATCCATTTTTATTTCAGGTTTTTTGTTAGGTTTTTTTTTTTTCCCTTTTACAACTGTCTTTCATTATAACTCATGCCATTTTCAGACATGGAAAGACATTCCTGACCAGCGACACACTTCCCATTCTGAGAGTGTTGAAACATCTTGTTTTCACAAGTTTTCCTCTACTGATTGCTTTGTGGTGAGGGATTCCTGTCCCCCTCCACCTCTCCTGCCCCCAGACTTAGCTCCATTCAGTGTCTAGCACTGATGCCACTTGTGCCCACACCACGTCCCCAGAGGCATCAAGTCCCCACCTTTGGCACCATGGAGATGTTGCTTTAGCAAACGGAGCTGGAAACTGTGGGGAGGGCAAGGAAAGGTGGGCAGGGAGCTGGGCAGGTGGCAGCAGTGTCCTGGTGGGGTTGGGCACATTGGGATGGGGATGCAAGGTCAGGACACAGCCAGCTACGAGGCCACCAGTGGGTCACCAAGGTGCTGCCTGGGGATTGGGACCCCCTTGCACACTAAGATGCTGCTGTGGGATGAGGTTCCCATTGCAAGTTTGGGTATTGCCACGAGGTGGGGATCCCCCCAGAGGTTGCAGTGCTGCTGTGGGACAGGGATGCCCTCAGAGGTTGTGGGGCTGCTGTTTGATGGTTTCGCCTTGCTGGTTGGGGTACTCCCATGCATGGGAACCCACTCACAGGTTGGGGTGCTGCTGTGAGACAAGGAACCCCTTAAAGAAGGGAGTTCAGCTGTGGGATGAAGACCTTGGACATAGAGGTGCTGCAATTGGATCAGGGAGTTGCTCAATGGTTAGGGTGTTGCAGTGGGATGAAGATCCCTTTAGAGGATGCTGTGGCATGGGGACTTTCTTGAAGGTGAGGGTGCTGCTCTTGGTTGGGTCCTCTTGAAGTCTGGGCTGCTGCTGTGAGATGGGGATATCTTTCCAGGCAGAGTTAGTGCCACTGGATGAGAACCCCCTCAAATGAAAGAGTGTTCCCATGGAATGGGGACCCGCTCAGTGATCACAGATGGGACCCAGCTCACCTGCTCCAGGGAGCACACCTCCACCTGGGAAAGCTCCGGGGATGCCAGCACCTGTGGGACAGGAGGAAGGCAGCAGTGAGCACCTGCCCAGAGGCGCTGCCCGCTGCCCCCAGCCCCATCTGGGCCATGCACCTACCTGGCACTTTGGGGGGCTTCCCCGCCGCACCAACCCCGGGCTGCACCGCACCTGTAGGAGCAGAAAGTCCTGAGCACCCATGCAGTGCTCCCACGGGCTCAGAGTGTGGCAATGGGGCATTTCCTACCTGGGACACCAAGGCCTCCTGGAACTCCAACTCCACCCACGCCACCGAGGCCACCAATTCCACCCACACCACCAAGGCCAGCACCTGGGGATGCAGGGAAAACGAGGGCACAGGGTGAGATGTCACCTTTGGGCCAAAGAAAGGGATGGCAGCAGGGACATCCCAAAGCAGCACAGGGTATGGATACTCCAGGCTGAGCAGGCAAACTCCAGAGCCCTAAGGATGCCCAAGCCCAGAGGTCCCCCCCACGGACACCCCCAGTACTCACCAGCTTTTGCTGCAGCCTTAAGAGCGGCCGCAGATGCAGCACCTGGGAAGGCTGCCCCGGGGAAGGCTCCCAAACCTGCTCCCAAACCTCCGACCCCAGCACCTGCGAGCAATAGCATAATCTTAGCGCCCACCTCCACAAGCACTCACCCTGCCCTACAGCACCTACGTGCAGCAGGAGGAGTGGGGTGAGCCCAGGAGCAGCACGTTGTCTGTAACCCAGGGCTGCAGCAGAGGTGAGGGGCAGCGAGCTGGCATTAGGCACAGCGAGGCAGCGTTAGGTGACATCTGCACGGGGACAGCTCTGCGGTGCCAGCCTGGATCGTGTCCTGTGCTCTGTCACCCCACATCCCCTAGGACACCCGCTCCTGTCGCCGCCCGGGGCTGCCCGGCTTAACCCCACGGGAGGACACGGCCACGAGGGTGGCCCCGCTGCCGGTTCACGGTGGACAAACCCTACGGCCGTGGGGAAAGGCCACCCGCTGTCCCTGGGGAGGCTGTCTGTGTAGGGGATAATCCTGGTTCGCGCTCACCTGGCTGCAGGCCAAGAGGGCCGAGTCCCCCGAGGCCACCGACCCCTGGAAAGAGAATTGGGCTGAGGAGGACGGCGTGGCTGCAGGGGCGCTGCGAGGGGACAGGGAAGGGGCGGAGCTGCAGCCATGCTTTCCCATCCCTATCCCGTGCTGCTCTGGCACCTGGGCCAGTCCGTGGGGTTCCCTGCCATCACCCCGGCACTTGCTCCCTGCGCAGAGCAGGGATGTGGCTGTCACGACAAATCGGGGTTCGTGGGATGGGTTTTTTCCCCCCCAGGAACCAGGGTCGTGATGAGGCGACCATATTTGCACCGTCCCAGCGGGATGCATTGGTCCGGGGGTCCCAGCCCACCAAGGCCCCAGGGATGGGCACATGGGGGTGGGGACAGGACTCAGACCGTGGCACGGGACGTGTGTCCCCATCCAATGGCCACCGCCGTCCCTTCCCGCCCCACCCGCCGGGCCACGAGGGGACGGAGCCTAAATGTTTATGGCTGAGGAATGAGTCCCTCCGGCTCCGGCCAGCGCTGCCTTCCAACATCTGGGGCTAATCAGCGCTCGCTCCCTCCAGGCGCAAATTCCACTGCCTTTGGCTCACGGCGCGGACACCGCTCCGGCTGGGGCTTCGCGGCTGCGCCGCGTTTGGTTTTAATTACGCCGAAATAAAGGGCCTTGTTTTTCTTTCCACAAGCTGAAATCTGAGTAAACGGAGGTTGCAGGCCCCCGCCTGGGGCTGGCGCTCCCGCGGCGCGGAGAGGGGACGGGGCAGGCAGCGCATCCCGCCCCAGGCACTGCGCTCCCCATCCCGCGGAGCATCCCCTGCGTACAGACAGTGGACTTCTCCATCAGCGCCCTGCCACCACTCATCCCCTCCTTTTTGGGCAGACGAGCCCCAGCCGAAGCTGCTCGACTAGGGGACTGCTGAGGACATCTGGGATATGGGAACAATTGGAGAGAAAGTGGCAGTGCTGAAGCCAGGGACAAGGGCGAAGGCACGCAGAGACATTGTGGTTATTGAGAGCTTGGTGAGCGGAAAGCGCTGGCTGGTGACAGGGAGCATCCCATGCCCACGGCCTCCTCCTGCATCCTGGCTGCTGGTGCAATCAGTGAGAGATAAAGGGAAGGTTCATACCTGGTTTGAGAGGTTTTCCTCCAGCCCCGAGTCCTGGGGGAGATGAGGGAGAGCAGTCAGGCACAGCATCCCCTGCAGTGCATTTGGGGACGCCGCAGGGTGCTGCCATGCCACCTCCTCCCTGTCCCAGGCAAGGGTCCCCAGCACTCACCTGCTCCCAAACCTGCTCCCAAACCTCCAACTCCAGCACCTGTGAGCAACAGCACAGTCTCAGCACCCACCTCTGCAAGCTTCCACCCAGGCCCCACTCATGCTGTGGGTCCTGGGGTGACAGTCAGATCAGAACCCCAAGGCTGCACGTAGCCAGAGCACTAAGGACAGGCTGTCACCCAGGACCTTCCCACAGTGGGGGCTGTGGAGGTGCCAGCTATGGGCAGGAGGCCCCAGCATAAGCTTGGCACAGCCCTTTGCCCACACCAAGGGGGCTGCAGCCACCCAAGGCTGAGTGTCCCCATGTCCCATGCTCCTGCCTTGCTGGTCTCACAGGTGTCCTGGGTGCCTCCTCAAGGGCCTGCCCCATCCCCACGGTACCCCCAACTGCCCACCTCTCCTTACCTGGGAAAAAGCCTCCTCCTGGGACTCCCCCTCCCGGGATAGCACCAGGGACCCCTGCAAGAAGAGAGACTCCGTTAAAACCCCCACAGGGATCTGTGCAGGACTGCAATGAGGACACTCCCTAGAGCAGAGTGAGCTCTCTGCCTGTCCTTGCACATCTCCCTGCCTCCAGTGCTGCAGTGGTGATGGGGTCTGCAGCTGCCCCAGGACCTGCTGTGGGTGTCAGCAGGATAACAAGCAGGCTGAGATCCAGCTCTGCCTCCCCAAACCATGCCAACTCCAAAACCCAATCCCACCCAATCTGTATCTCTTTGTCCATCCCTGCAAAGTGGAGAAGCTCCTCAGCCCCTCTGGTCTCAGAGGTGGCTGGAGTGGGGCACCCAGGTGGTGTTTGAGAGCCTTTGGGGTGGGTGAACTTCTCCCTGCCGAAGCACGTTCAGCAGATGGATGCTCCCTGCTGCATGGGGTACATGTGCGGGGTGCAGGATGGCAGGGGTCTCACTCAGCAGGGATGGCTGGGGTGCAGGAACGTGGTGCAGGGGATGCTCTGCTCCTGGATGGGCTTTCTGATCGTGAATAGCTTGAAAAGGGATTTGCGGTGTGGTGGGCAGGGTTGAGGAGCTCACAGTGCGCTGGGCAGGGAGGATTTGGGGCTTCTGAATCTTTGATGGCCAGGGGGGACCCTGCACCCCCAGGAGATTGGTGCATGCGGTGGCACAGCCCTGGGGCACATGGCATGCGAAGCCTCTGAATCAAGGGTGTTCCTTGCACCCTGCCACCCTGTGGGGCTCCGGGGTTGGAGTGCCAACCTTGCCATGCTGGGATGCACACGTATGTCAGGTGGCACACAGGGTGCACACACATGTGAAGGACACATGTGTCTGCACAAGGAGGATGCACACCCCTGTGCGCACGCACACTGGGGGACACGGGCCCAGCAGCATCCTCCAGCTGATGTGTTCCAGCAATGCCCAACAGCAGATTTGGCACCACGCATCCCCAAACTGGCCTGGGGCACAAATCCAGCTGTGGTGCAGCTGATGTCCCAGGGAGCAGAGCTGTCTCTGTCCCCGCTGACCACCAGCCCAGCCCAGCAGTGCAGCAGCCAGCCAGCACTTACGGAGCGGCTCCTTTTCCTGGCACATTCTCCTGCCTGCCCTCCCTCAGCCCCCCCCCCCCCCCCCCCCCCCCCCCCCCCCACCAGCTTGGAAAAACAAATCCCAGCTCCTTGCCTGTTTCCAAACATACACACAACTCTCATCCTCTCCACCCGACCTGCTGGGCAGCTGTGTGGGATACTCCTTTGGAGTCCCCAGGACTCAGCCCTCCGTGGGCAGGGTGGCATCTTTTGCTGGGGGAATGCTGTGCACTGTGGGGACACCCAGATCCTCTGCACCACCGCTGCCTGGCACAGCCTCATGGAGAAGGTGAGGGGAGGCAGCTCAGTGCCCTTTGAGTCCCATAAAGGTCTGGGGGATGCTGTGCAGAGGCCGTGCTCTTTGGTGCCTGTTCCAGCTCCATGCAATCCCAGTGTTTTGGAGGATTAAAGGGGAGGTGCTGGTGTTCGTGCTGGGGTCAGAAGGTGGATGTGGACCTCCTGCCTTGGCACCAGCCAACCTGGCTGCACAGATTTTGCCCAGAGCATCACAGAAGCCTGCTCCTCATGTGCTGCTGAGCAGGACCAGCTGTGACACCAACCAGCCCTGTGCTCCTGCACAGCTGCACTGCTGCACCACAGCCGTGCCACACTGCAGCAGCAGCAGTGGCTCTCTGGGGCTGTGTCTCCATGCTTGTCACACACCTGCAGCCCTGTCCCCAGCCTTGCAGCAGGGAAGCAGGCACTGCCTGTATTCTGATCCCAGCACAGGGGACCCTCCTTTGCCCCCTCCATCCCTCAGCACATTGGTGATGGAGAAACTGACTTACAGCCCCACTGGGGCTGGTGGGTCCCTGCGCTGCCTGTCCTGCTCAGAGCCTGCTGGGGGCAGAGGGAGAATTGCTCACAGGTCCCTTTTTCCCCCGGAACTGGGTTGTGTTTCCAACCCTGAGACAGGAGAGCAGGCGCTTAAATGCACAGCCCTGGCTGCAGGGGTTTGCTCACGGAGGTGCTTCAGGATCCAGTGTGGAACCTTGTTTATAGGAGCTGGACTTCTCTTCCACAGCTCTGCGCCATCTGGTCGCTGCAATAGCTGCACTGTCCCATTATCTGTTTTCTTTTGACCCCTCTTTCTGCTACCCGCACCGTTTATGTTTGACAGCAATTCCTGTTGGCCGCACACTTTCCACTACCCGCGCACTTACTGGCAGATCCCTTTCCAAGCAAGAAACGCAGATATTTTCTGTATTCAGCAGCTCATTCCTCCTCACATCCAAGAGCCTCCTGAGGACCACGACAGGACGGGAGCACACAGCCCTGCTCAGCCCCTCGCCCCATGTCAGGGCAGCCAACCCCGCTCCTCAGCAGCCTCCCCGGCCCCTTCCCACAGCCGGCTCAGCGCCCGACCGCTGCAGACATTTCCCTCTCGTTGTTTGCTTTTTTGGAAGAATGGGTTTTGGAAACATGCGGTTTCCAGGCAACTTTGAAGCCGTGCCCACATCCCGAGCCCACTGGTAGCAGCTCAGGAGGATGAGAGGAGAGGGAGGCTGTCACCACAGTCAGGCTCCCATCCGGACCCCAGAGCCCCAGCTTTCAGCTCTGAAGTATCTGCAGACAGGCTGCAAAGGTGTTCTGGAGTGAATTGTGCACCCTCAGAGGGTCTCCATGGGGTCAGGGTGCTGGGGGGGGCAGGATGCCAGCACATTTATTACCTGCATCTCTGGGCCAACCTCTGAACCCTGAGCCCACAGGACTGGGATGCTCGTGTCCTTCTGCCCTCTGTAAGGCATCGTTTTTGTGGGGAAGCACTGGAGGATGGGTGCCCCCCTCCATACGCTTCCCTTGGCACCTTTTACAGCAGCTTCCCTGTACAGTAGCCCAGATTCATCCATGGGACACTGCATGCCCCCACGGTGCCCAGAACAAACCAACTCCCTGGAAGAGATGCTGAGCTACCACTGGAGGATCCCAGATGCCACCAGCTCAGCCCCTCGTTGGGTCAGCACTCTAAAGGGCTTCCCCAGGGCGCTGGAACAGTCTGAGTGCACAGGGCTGCCCCCATCTCCATGCCCCCCAGCCCTGGCATATCTCAAATGCCCCTTCCCTGTCCAAACTGAAGCTGCAGTGTGTGCCATGGGAGGCAGCCCTGTAACCCTTCCAGGTGGATGCATCCTGAGCACCCACTGGTGCCTTTGGCTGTGCCCTTATCCCAGCTTGATCCCCAGGGGCTCGCAGAGCACAGTGCCAAGCAGCACACTGGGCTGCAGGAACAACGGTCATTTCTCTATAGGGAAATGTTCCCCAGTGTCCCCATCAGCACAGGGACTCCTCAGAGAGCTGCTCCCAGACCAGCCAACACCCCAGGACAGCATGCCAGAGGCTGGAGCACAGCCAGCAAATCCAACTGCTCACACACCACTGTGGGATATCACTCTGGGGCCAAAGCCATCCTGAGACTGCCCCAGCTGCCAACTGCATAGGAGCTGGCAAGCAAAGCAACCAGGGTGAAGGGAGCCAGCACAGAGCATCCCTGCCAGGCACAGGGAGTGGCCAGCACTGAGCTGCAACCCGGCTGGGACGGCTGCTTGGCCCCGGGCTGCAGCTCTCCAGGATCAGGCAGAGCAGCAGCTGTGCAGGTGCCTGTCACAGGAGTGACATTACGTGCATGGCTGGGGACAAGCAGCCTGGGACAGAGCAGAGAGCTGCAGGGCATCCGTGCAAGGAGCTGCTGGCTGCAGAGAGCTTCCCTGAGGGTTTTGCACTGGGCAGGGGTGGCACTGCCCGTGGGGTCCTGCCCTGCCCTGAGCAGCTGGCAGCGTGTGATGGCTGCAGCACTGTCCCCATCACCATCACTGCTGGTGCCCCATTCAGCCAGACGGGTGCCGTTCCCCCTCACCCAAGGCCCTATGGAGGCAGCTGTCCCACTGCACCACACAGTCCCTGCTTTCACCCACTTTTCCCGTTGTGAGCAGCCTTAAATCCTCACTCAGTGGCCCCGTACCCTGGTCACACACCTGCTGTGCTGCTTGGCCCTGTCCCACTCACAGCGGGATGCTCTGCCCAGGTACCCAGTGCCTTTTGTCCCCTGCCCATGTGCACATGTGCATGCACTACGGGGTGTCACACAGCCCCAGAGGCCGACGCTGCCGAGCCGGGGGGTGGATGACACCAGGGGGGGACACACAGCAACCACGACACCAGCGAAAGGCTTTGTCATGGCCACACGCTGTGCACACACGCAGCCCTCAGGCAGCCCCCAGCTCACACTGAGATCACAACGGGGGGGCCATGGATGCCAGCCCCCTGCCCTTGGCACTTACAGCCACTCCACATGCATGTCCCCAGCACCTGGGCACGATGTGGCACCTCGGAGCCACCTCCCAAAAAGCGCTCCGCGGTGCCGCTCCCAGGCGCTGTGTGCCACCATCGCACCCCGCAGTCGGGGAGGAGGAACCCGGCTGATCTCTGCCTGCTACCCCGGGCGTCCAGAGCAGGGCAGGGGCTGCCCTCCCCGGGGACACGCAGCCCTCGGCCGGGGCAGGACGCAGGGTCCCGGCAGAGCCCCTTCAGGCGCAGGGGATGGAGCCTTTTCGTTCCTTACCTCCTTGCTGAGAAGCCGGGAGGATGGAGAAGAGGAGGAGGACTCCGGGGAGGAGGGGTGCAGCTGCCTGCCTTGCCATCTCTTGAAGCAATGCCCCCGTGCTCTCGCAGTCAGTGTGTTTTATCCCAGAGCTGCTTAATTGTTGCTTCCAAGGATGTGAGGGGAAGGGGGGGTGTGGGGGTTGGAAGGAGGGAGGGGAAAAGGAGTGAGAGAAGGGGGGAGAGAGGCACAGGACACTACGTCATGACGAAAGGGCAAACACTCAGCCCTCTCCAGGCTATTGGGCTGCGTTGTTTTTTCTCTTTTTTCTTCCTTTTTTTTTTTTTTTTTTTTTGTGTGTGTGTGTGTGTAATTTCTCTCCCTCACCGCTCTCTCTCCAATTCTGGCGCGGCGCTGCCAAAAGTGCGGGGGGAGCTGCCAAAGAAGGCGGCCTGCGGCGGGCGGGGGGCGAGGGGAGCAGGCGGAGGGGGGAGCACAGAGCCCAAAAAGAGGGGGTGGCAGCGGGGGGTGTCACACCTCGGGGGCAGCAGGCCAGCGCCGTGGGGGCTGCCAGGCAAAAGGAGGGGCTGGAGGAGCAGCTTGGGTGTCAAGCGAGGGAGGGCAGACGTGGGGGATTGGGGTGCATCGGGGGGGTCTGGCTGCAAACCCCGCAGTGGGGAGCTGGGATTCTCTCAGCTCTCTCCTTGTGTTTTTCGTCTCCCGAGCCCCAATACCTGCCCGCTGCCGTTGTGCTGTGCCTGGGCTGGGGACAGAGACGGGGACAGCTTCCTCGAGGGGTCCCGGCACAGCGCGGTTCGAAGCGGTGCGGGGGGAACGGGGAGATGGGTAATCCGCTGGGTGGGACTCGGGGCCCGGGCCGAGCCACCCCGCGCTGTCACCACCATCGCCACCCGCCGAGCCCCGCGTGGCCGTTAGGTGGCAGGCGTGGGGTGTCCGGAGGCAGGACGGCATCGGGGAACGCGCAGGGAAATTCAGCCGTCGGCTGCGGGGGTTGCGCGGCCGAGCGCGGCCCCTTCCCCACGCGGGGCGCCCCGGGGACACGCAGCGCCCACCCCGTGTCCCGTCTGGGGACGGACGGTCACTGCGGCCCCGGGTGCCGGCACGGCGGCGTCTCACCCCACGAGCAACTGAGCGCGGCCGCTGCGGTGCAAAACTGCGCTCCCGATGCCAAACCGAGCCCCCCCAGCCCAGGTTGGGACAGCTGAGGAGCGGGGAGCAGCGCAGCAGCCAGCGGGGCTTTGCACAGGTGTCCGTTTTGCATTCATCCGCACCCTCGTGCTGCGGTGTCGGAGGCACGCAGCGCCCCGGAGTGACAGCTGGGAGCAGGGGGACGCAAAGACGGAAGGCTGTGCAGCAGCGTGGCTGTGGGCGCGCAGAGCCCGGTGATGCTGGTTGGGGATGCATCCTCAGCGCGTGTGTCTGCAAAACATGCGGGGAAAGGGGCTGGGAACCGTAAGTGGGGCAGCTGGACGTCCCTAGCAGCTTCCATCCCTTGCCAGTGAAATGGCTCTGATTTTTGAAAGCGTGTTTTGTACCTCGAAAGAATAGACACCAGGCACGCTTTCCCCGCCCCTGGCACTCGCGCCGGGGACGTGGATCCAAACCCTTTGCTATTGGGCCACGACGGAGCCAAGACGTCCGCGAGCTGCCTGCGGGGAAGGGCTGGGAGCCTTTGCGAAGTTCTGGGGAAAAGCTGTGCAGTTTGGCCCGTGCTGGGAAGATACGGTTCTGGGTACGCGCTGATGAGCAGAAAGCAAAGGGCCCGAGTGAAAAAGATGCAGTTTGCTGTATAAGGACCCACGGCTTCCCCACGAACGCCCCAAACATCCTTGCCCTGCTGTGCACGCACACACATACACCTACACCCTATGCGGTCCCGGGGGTAACACCGGCACGCCAAACACGGCAGTAAACACACCTTTGCCATAGCTACGGAGCAGCCCCGCACCTGCCCCGCGGGGAGCCGCATCCGGAGCCGGGCGCTGTTTGTGGCGTTGTCCTGGGAAACGGCGCTCGCTGCGAGACACCGAGGGGTGGGACGCGGCTTTGCGGGAGCACGGCGGATGCGTAGCTCAAAGGAAAGCTATGTGCGAAGGGCAGGTCGTGGGCACGCAGGGGAAGGGGCCCCCGAGGTGTCCAACCCCGGCGCTGACTGATGTTGTACGACCGATGCTGCAAACCCTGCGCGGATGGGGATCTGCCCCTCCCGGCTCTGACGTTTTCCCCCATCTGAGCCCGAGATGCCTCGAGTGGTGCCTGTCACGGCTGTGGGGAGGCTGAGGGCTGTGCTCGGCCCTGCCTGGCGTTGTGTAGGCTGAAATGTTCACTCCACTTGCACATCCCTCTGCTCACCAAGTGCCTCGTGTTCATCTAGTGCTTATCTCCAGGCAGCGCAGTCTTCATCTAAAGCAGGAAGGGTCAGGGCGGCCACCTCTGCCCATTTCCAAGCATCTTTATGTTTTTCTGCCTTGCCTCACCAGCTTTTAATTGCTAGCTAATGGGTGCTCACCTCCACGTGTATCTGAAATGCAGCCTTCTGCAAGTCTGCCTGCTGCAGCATCGCAAGTGGTTGAGTGCATCTCAAGTCGTGGGGCAGGGGGGACAGGTTGTGAGGATGAATGGAGTGGAGCACCTGGGAATCAAACCAGTACTGCTCAATCTCATTTAGAGGAAGCAAAATATTTGGGCTTGTCAAGTTCCTCATTCAGAGCCATCCAGGAGCTCAGTGGCCCTTGAACAAAGCCGTGTATTGAGACTGACGTCTTTCTTGAGCACCGCTGGCTGCTTCAAGCATGATCCAATTGTGTCCTATGGTCAGTTTGGAAAGAGGTCCTGCCAACATGAGGTCCTGCCCAGTGGCCTCAGGGCTGGCTGCAGCCACAGGCAGCAATGGGAAGTTTATCCTTGCCTTGACCAAGAGGAACAGCCCACAGCCATAGAGAAGGGAAGGGAAGGGAAGGGAAGGGAAGGGAAGGGAAGGGAAGGGAAGGGAAGGGAAGGGCCCGTTCCCATCACCCAGGCTAGGCATCCACCCAGACCCCTGTTTTTGGCCATGCAGCAGCAACCAGACAATGCTTGTAATGGTGCATTCTCTGCAGGCATTGCCTCCTGTTCTCATCATCTCTTCCTTTGTATCCTGCAGGCAACCAGCTCTGTTTGCACGGACACACAGTTGTGTTGTGTTGGGAGTTGCACAGCCCTGGGACATGAGCTGTCGGGTTGTGGGATCTCCATCCTTGCCCATGTTCAACACTTGCCTGACTGGAGCAGCCTGTCCTGGCTCTGGAGCTCATGCTGCTCACACAGGGGCCAGGCTGGAGACCTTCAGACATCCCTCCCAACCTTAAATCCTTCCATGATTTATATTGAATTCTCTTTGGTATTCGTGTAGTTCTGGGAAGCCTTCAGTGATGTATCATTGAACTGCTCTAATCTGAAGCAGGCCAAGGAGGGATTTAGTGGTCCTGGCTCCATAGATCTCATTCACATCGTCCTTCTCAAGGGCAGTGAAACATCTGCTGCCGATAGGTAACTCCAGGCCACGGCGCTCGCCCGGCGGTGAGCAGGGCGCGTTGGGTCGGACCTTTGCTGGGCTGCTTTCATCCTTCCTCGCTCTGCTGTGAGCTTTCCAGGCGCTGATTAAGAGGTACCATTGCTGCGAGGCGTGCTGTGCCTGGGTGGATGTAGCTTTCAGCGCTGAAACGCAGTGTTTACTGGAAGGCTCCGCCGTTGTTCTCGATCGGGACTGATTCCCTGCCAGATGTCAGCTCTGACCCCCAGCAGTTTCGGCAGCAGAGCAGCCTAAAAATTGGAAGATTGTTTTGTATTCTTGCAAGAAGAGGAAAAAAAAAAAAAAGGGCATGCTTATTGTGTAGATATCGCTTTTTCCTGCCTTCCTACTCTGAAACGGCCAAGGCGTGTTAGCAGAGATTCGCCTTCAATCGGCCTTTGTGCAGAGAGAGAGGCTGGAAAATCTCAACCCAGGAGGAGAGAACTGAAGCGAGTTGTGGGCAACCGAGTGCAGCGATGTAAGCGGCAGCGCTCAGCCAGCACATGAACTTTGGACACCGCTCGCGCTCCGGTTTGTGTCTGCAGCACAGAGGGGCCCTGAGGAAAAGGCGGTGGAGAGCCATTATCTCGCAGCCAGATCCTTGTGGTGTAAAGGGGAAACATACAGCAGGGCTGGGCTGCTGCCTCCTCCCCGCACGCCCCGCAGATGCCAGTCGACGTCTCCCAGAGTGCTGATAATCCCGAGTGTGAGTCAGAGCCCAAGAATCACGAGCAGGGCTTCAAATTAAGTCTCATATTAAAAACAAAAAAAAAGACAGAAAAAGAAGAAGAAAAAAGGAAGAAAATCACGTACGGAGTACGGTCTCTCGTGTTCTGCTTTTTAGGCTGGAAGGTTTGTGTCTGCAGCTCTTCTATGCACCCAGAAGGGCTTTGCGTTTTCCTTGCAGAAGAGTGAAATCTGAGTCTGCCCCAGCCCTGTGACTGCAGGAGATGGGGATTCGCACAAGAGGAGCGATGTGCTGACTGCTTCTCATAAGGCCATGGGTGCAGAGGTGTCCTTGCCAAAGGAGGGCCCTTGCAGAGAGTGACAGCTCCCCACGAGGTCCCCAGGATGTGTTCTGCCCCATTCCAAGGTCAGCTGAACCTGGGAGGGACCTGCTGGGACACAAGGACACACTGAGTTAAGTGCCCTGTGGCCGAAGCTCTCATCGAGGACTGGGGTTGTTCTGGCAGCAAGTGGAAAAGTGAGTGTTGGGTTCAATTACTGATAGCACAGTGAGGAACCTGGAGAAGTGCTGGAGGTCACAGACATGTGGTCCCATGCGATGCTGTGCAGGCAGAGGGGAGCAGGGATGGATGTTGGCAGGAGAGCTGGAGGAGCCAGCAGCTCGCTGACATGACTTCCATGAGCAGAATCCGGCCAGCACTGCAGGTTGGAGTGTCCACAGCAACAAAAGTATCGTCAGTACAGAAAAGATTGAGGGGACCAAGGAAGGTGCAAGAGTCTGGTGGTGAAATCAGAGAGGAGACAGAGAAAGGAAAGCTCCACAGAGGGAACAGAAGAGAGAGATGGGTGGCCCAGTGCTTCAGAGCGGTGACCACGGAGGAGATTCCAGCACCTGAGGGTTGGTGACACCAAGATGGGCCCAGTGTGAGCTGAGCTGGGCTGGAAATACAG